AAATACGGTGCGTAACAACAAGAACAGAACAAATTAAACTCTTTACAGTTCAGAAGTGGGATTCTCATCGTGTACCGCCATTATCGTGAACGATCCGGCTTGCTACCGATTCTCATCGTGTACCGCCATTATCGTAAAGCGATCCGGCTTGCTACCGATTTCCCTTTTCCTTTTGTCCTCATTCCTTTGCTCGGGCGAGTAAAGTACAGCGTGCAAGGCTGTAATAGATTTTCGAGTGCGATATTTCCGGCCAGTTATCCCGTGGAAAATATTCGGGTCAACGACCGTTATCGTTATCGTAATATCTAGTGAAAGACGTTATCCCGTCGTAACGACGTTAGAAACATTGATATTGTGGATCGGCGACCAGTGATATCGGTCTGCCACGCTGCAAAGGAACATATATTCGCGTGTGAGAAGTTGCGTCTCGAACGTTCTCGAACGGTTTCCCCGCCATTTTGGGTGCAACGGTCAACCGCCATCTTGCCACGCTCGAACGTTCTCGAGCGGTTTCCCGCCATTTCATACGTCTCGAAAATTCTCGAGCGTCTTCCGCCATTTTATGGTGCTGTGTTGCCGCGATCTGAGTGTGTTCGAACAATATCACACTGTATCGGTGTGTTCAAATATATCGTACATCACGGAAGATCAGTTATTAGCATTCAAGAAAATATGGATCGGCAGCAGTTAGAAAAGTTATCTGTGAGTGAGCTACAGGATGAAGCCAAGAAATATGGGCTAAATCCTCCGAACGATACATCGCGCTGTATAGACATGATTATGTCTTATTTGGAGAGACAAGCCACGTCCGATCTACAAAAAAGAGAAACGCGTGCCGCCACTAAAACTAAGGCGATGCAATCAACAGTCGCAGTGACGACGCCGACAGGATCATCCGATTTATCTCAAATATGTGCTTGGATGGCAGAACAAATGCGTATTCAGCAGGAAGATAAGCAAGAACAAAGGCGTCTCCAGCAAGAACAAATGCGTATTCAGCAGGAAGATAAGCAAGAACAAAGGCGTTTCCAGCAAGAGCTAATGCGTCTCCAACAGGAAGATAAGCAAGAGCAAAGGCGTATCCAGCAAGAACAAATGCGTCTTCAGCAACAAGAAAAGCAAGAACAAATGCGTATCCAGCAAGAGGATAAGCAAGAACAAAGGCGTATTCAGCAAGAGCAAACGCTTATTCAGCAAGAGTTTCAACGAGAGCAAGCTCGAAACCAACAGGAACAGCAGCGGCAAAATCAAGCTATGATGCAACAGATGGTCGAGTTAACTAATTTGTCTCGTGAGAACTCTCAAAATGGAATACGTAATATTACAAGTGAAGACAATGTTATACGTGCGGATCCCGATAGTTCAATTACACGTCGCCAGCCAATTTCGTCAGCGACCGCATACGCTGTTAAATTGTTGACGACTCAAATTCCTGAATTTGCCGGAACAGAAGAAGAAAAGATAGAAACATGGATTCAGACTGGAGAGAGAATTGCACAAATCCATGCAGTTTCGGATGATGTGTTACTCTTAGCAGCCTCTAGTAAACTCGTCAAAAATGCCAAAAGATGGTTTGATCTCAATGTAACAACGTTGATCGAATCATGGCAGATATTTAAAGAAGCCATAATACGTCGATTTAAAAGGAAGATATTGTTTCATGTGGCTATGCAAAAAGTTGAAGCAAGAAGATGGAATTTTCCAAAAGAGCAATTCCAAGATTACACCATGGACAAATTAGTATTGATGAAAAATCTGAACTTGCCAGAAGAAGATGCCATTCATCTACTTATTAATGGTATTGGAAGCCGATCGTTGAGAGAAGCAGCTGCAGTTCTTCATTGTGCAACAGTCGATGAGTTCCTGGAAGAAATGCACCGGATAACATCGGTGTCAGCCGAGCCCACTCGGAAGATTCATCATCAGGAGATCAAGAATGATAAGGTGAAAAATAGTGAGGACACAGTTCCTAAAGATAGCTCAGTGTCAAAATCGGACAAAGATGTGTTTTGTGTTTATTGCCGGGCAAAAGGTCATGTCCGAGCTGACTGTTACAAGTTAAAAAAGAAGGAGCAATCACCACCTGTGGTAACTGCCAAACCAGCATCAGTGGTATCTGCAGTGGAAGAAGACGTTCAGGAGATGGAGATTGCGACAGTGAATGAAGATTCCGGTAGGAAGTTAGAAATTCCTGATGCGCGTATTATTGTAACTTCGGTGAATGAAATTCCATGTAAGTTGAATGCGTTGTTAGATACCGGAAGTCCCGTTTCGTTTATTAAGTCTTCGATTTTTGCAAAGTTTATAAAAGTCGATTTAGAAAAGAGTGAGAAAATAAAACGATATAAAGCAGTGAATAATACTTTTGTTAATATATTAGGATCTGCTCAAACAATGATTTCTTTGGATTTATTACCAAGTTTAAAAGCATCAATTTCTTTATTGATATTGGAAAATGACTCATTTTCTTTTGATTTAATTATTGGTTTAGATTTCTTTAAAGAGAATAATATTTCAATTTTATGTAAACCATCGGATATTGATTTAGATAATCGAATTCAATTATTCCAAGAAGTAGCTACTACAGAAGAAATTAAAGATAAATCTGAAGATATGCTATCATTATTGCAAGATGACGATACTAATTGTAATGAATCAAATAAACAAGAATTAGAGTTTGAGGATAAAGATAATGATGTTGCGTATATAGAACCAATGCCTCTTGAAAGAGAGCTAGAATATAAGCAGTTGCGTGATATTAAGTTAAAGAATATTGCGAAAAAATTAGAAGTTGAGGATAACGAAAAATTTACATTAATAGATGGACTTGTCTTTCATAAAGGAAAGGATAAACCTAGATTCGTAGTTCCAGAAGTTATGATAAATAACATTATTCGGGTATATCATGATGATAAGGCGCATTGTGACGTTAACAAAACCTTCCAAGGTATATATAAGAATTATTGGTGTCCTTCTTTACGAAAGAAAGTGATAGATTATATAGATAACTGTTTGACTTGTATGATGACAAATGCGACTATTAGTACTCGCGAGGGCAAATTACAAGTAGTAGATAACCTTAAATTCCCGTGTCAAATTTGGCATACGAACCTTTTTGGCCCAATATCAGAGTCAGTTGAGGGATATAAGCATATTTTATTAATAGTAGATGCGTTTACGCGATTTACTTGGTTGTTTCCTGTCAAATCTACCAGTACAAAAGAAACTATCAAACATATGGAACTATTGTTTAACACATTTGGAAGTCCAAATATTTTAGTTTCGGATAAAGGTACAGCATTTGCTTCGAATAAATTTTCAGAAGTTATGCAAATTCATAATATTAAACATCATCAAGTTGCTGTTGATGCTACATGGGCAAACAGCATAGTAGAGAGAGTTAATAGATTTTTAAAAGCATCTCTTGAAAGAATTGTTGAGGAACAACAATCATGGAGTTCCGCGATTGGATCTATCCAGTTTGTGATAAACAATACAGTTCATTCGTCAGTGAAGGCTTCTCCTTCAAAATTACTTTTTGGTTATGAGCAACGTAGTCACTCGGATAATGAGTTGGTTAAAAATTTAACTCAATTAGCAGAAATTGAATTAAAAGTATCGGATGAACAAGATATTGCTAATGAATTAGCTGTAGAAATGACTGATAAAATAAAGGATTATAATAAAACCAATTATGATAAACAATATAAGAAACCAACTCAGTATAAAGAGGGAGATTACGTTAAGATAAGAGATTCTGCGGTAAAACCCGGAGAAGATAAGAAATTAAAGCCATGTTATAAGGGTCCGTATATGGTTACAAAGGCCTTAAATAATA